TACATCAATTTGACACGTTCCCTGAAAATTTGAGCGAAATCCGTCGGAAAATTTTTGAGAAATTGACGTTTTAGTGACGTCATGTTCGCCATTTTCGCCTCAAAAACGGCAAAATTTCAAACGCCGTTAACATCTTCATTTTTTAAGGAATCAAGACGTAACAAAAAAGGTTATACGTAATTCTACTTTTTCTATCAAATGGCTATCTCGTTTTTTTTTTTGAAAATTTTGGATTTTGGCCAAAATTTTCAAAAAAACTGACTTTTTTGGGAAAATAATAATAAAATCCAAAATTTTGAGTGTATCGAAAAAAACAAAATATATGTCAGAGAAGTGTTCTCAGGGGCGGCGCCACGGGTTTTCGATAGGGGGGGACGGGGACCGAAAATCGAAAATCCCAAAAGTAGATACTGATCGTGTATGCAAAAAAAAAAAAAAAAAAAACGAGGCACGTAACGCCGCGAAACTTGGCAAGGCCCAAAACACATCGAATGGTGCATCCCGTTTCCAAACTTATCCAGGACACCTAGGATCGATCACCTTTTCAAGCATCCTTGCCTCTAAATCAAATTTTGCAGTCTTGCCAACTCAAAGCTGGTTTCCTACAAGCTACGAATTGCTTAGGTATGAGTAGCAGTGCCAGCTATTCTTACGTTTCGTACTTTCAAATTTTCGATCTTACGTCTGGTCAGCTTCAGGGCTTCACCATCATATAGTCATGGAGGAAAAGTGGGAATGTCTTCTGCTCTGACAAGTGCGCCAAAACTGCAATATAATTTCAGAATCATGACATCACCACCTGATCCATATGCAACGGGCAGGGTGAAGCTAATGGCTAGCCGTCAGTGGTCATGTCATCGGTGGTCACTCAAAAGGTCATGCTAGGTCATGGAAGGTCACCAGCCGTTATTTGATCACACTTTCTGATGGATTTTACTTGCCAAGAGCTTCGCGGGAAAAACGAGCGCATGCACCGTTGAAAAAATTGAGTGAAAGGGTCTCAGGTCCGGCGACCTCTGCAGGTGAAATGCCCCAGGGTAGGATTCCGGTGCTTGTTGATTAACTTCGTCAAAAATGGCAGTAGAGCTGTGATGTCGGCACCATTGTGTTCGTCATGACCGAGCTGGCACGACCTGCATCGTTCTCATATTCACCCTCCAATCGTAACAACTACAGCAGGGATTGGCAAATGGCGGGGCACCCCCTTTGGGAGGTAATGAAGGTCTCTGGAAACCTCATCCCACATCTCTTTAGCATTAGTGTCTCTCCTTATGGAACAGGTTTCTTGACTGGTCTGTTTCACCCCAGAATTCAAAGACTAGCCAAGGTAAAACCGAGCGCACCACAGTGAGCACAATTTGATAAGCTGGTGTATCTCAATTTTCATGTAGAACCTTTCACGTATCACGGACCTAAAACCCTTTCGTGCACTCATGCAAAAGCAACTGCCATGTTTCAACCGCTGGTAATGGCATTTTCACAGCCGCTGACGTAAGAAGGGGAGGGATGGGGGGCTCGATAAGACCCCCAGCCGTTCGGCCGCCGACCGAACTTAGTTTTGCAGAAAAAAAAAACGAGTGCTATCGAACCCCTTGACGAGAGGGAGCCGATGCTATATCCAATTATAAGGTCTTGGGCTACTGCGTGCTTTTTTGGTCCTGCCTGTGATCTATCCGAACACTTCTCCCCACAAGTGCTGGGGTTAAATGGCATAGATTTCAAATGGTTCCTGTGGTAGAACTGCCATGCTTGAATTTGACTAATTAGGAATGGAAAATTTTCATATAGTAACGGAAATCTATGGAATTTCAGTGAGCTTGGTTTTATCGGCAATGGGGTCTGGCAGTGGGGTGGGGAGGTAATAAGTAATAACCCTGCCTGGCGCCCCAAAAAGGGGGCACGATCCCCGAGGCCCTGCCGATCACCTTATAACTACAGGCATCACAGCTCCACACCTTTTGCAGATGGCCAGGACCCCTTGCGATGCATCCCAACAGCAATCTTTATTCAGAACCTGCCTTGATTAACCAACGATGCATTAAATGCGACGGATAGCTCTATAATGCATTATTATCAACTATTGAAAGGGCCTCGCCGATAGGGGGGTACTGTACCCCCCTAACTTTCGATAGCGGGGGACCTGTCCCCCCCGTCCCCCCCGGTGGCGCCGCCCATGAGTGTTCTATGTGGACCTACATACCAATTTTTAGAAGAATCGGTTCAAAAATGTGGGAGTTATTAAACATTTTATGACGTCACGACACACAAAAAAATTTGAAAAATGATTTTTTTTGGAAGTTCTAGACCTCGTACGGAAACAAAAATAGCACCATTCGATTTGCCGTTGAAAACTGCATCAGATAGACACCTTTTTAGGCCTTAACTAACAACTTTGAAATTTGACCTCACTTGACCTGGCCTTGACCTAACCTCGACCTGAAATTCATCCAGAGGTGGTCCATATCACTTATTGAGTGTGCCTATTGAATTCTATGAGTAAAATCACCCATAAAACATGTGTCGCACATGCCCTTTTCTATATTTTGTTTTTGGTGACCTGACATGACCTGACCTGACCTTGACCTTGACCTCTGAATGGTATTGTATGCAACGAATATTGTCTTGGTAGCCTAAGAACACGTTTTGGGCAATCAGTCTCAGTCCATGACTCCATTCTTCGGCAACTACGGTGCAAGGCCGATACTGTAGGAACTTGCAATTTGTACCCTTGACCTGACCTTGACCTTGACCTCAAACTTTAAATTAAGTACATGTTTTTAGTTGTTCGTGATGAGATCTTTCGATTGGCGTTTGAATTTTCCAAATCGGACCATTAGTTCGGGAGATAACAGGGGGGTAAAATTTACACCCCCCAGCCCCGCGCGTTCGGCTGGAGACGCCAGCCCCGCGCGGGTTAACGTGCGCACATCGCCGCGCACGGCCGGTCCACTCACTGACTTCGCCTGGCTATGGCCTGCCACCAACCGCAACCATACCTGTCAGGAGGCCCATAAACGTCAAGCGCCCGTCGGGCTTCGAACCCGGACTGTTGTAACCGAGAACTCGTGCTCTCACCAAGCGGAGTCCAACGCTCTACCAACTGAGCTACGGGACCGGCACTGAGCTACGGGACCGGGAGCCATTTTTGAAATATATGGCTAAAATAGACCACACGATGTGTCAGTGAACAAATCATGCCTTAAAATTTCACATGGAAATAAAAAGACGAACCTTCATCCACAAGAATCCCAAAGCTTCATTATAAAGAGTGGTTCCCAATTCTGATCCATAAACAAATAATTATTCAAACTTCATATCCGCATGGTGCATTCCCTATTATCGTTGCAATCGCTTTCCCGTTTCCTGTATTCCCCATGAACCCTACGACGCGAATACGTAATATGATTATGTAAATGTCCAGCAAAAAAAAATGTTGTCATGCACTATCAAAACCCGTTGTACTCGCGGGTGACTTCACGATGACACGGGAACGCGCCCTGCACCGTTGCCGGTTACGAAAGAGGTGGTTCCTTCTCCAAGCTACAATGGCATAGCCGCACGAATAAGGGGCTGACAGCTTGTAAATGCCAGGTTTGATGGACCAATATGGTGTGCTCAGGGCAAAAAAAAAAAAACATAGCTGAAATGGGTAAGTCACGAGAGCATGGAACGCCTGTTCATTAGCATTTGCGGTGCATGGCATTAAAATTTAAAAATACTAAAAAACGACGCCCGCCTTTTTTACGCACCTTATCAAACCTTTTCGCACAGGCTGCAAAAGTTTCACTCTAGGTCAAGTGAGAAAAGCAGCACGCAAGTAGCATCACCTCATACAAACAGGCTCACCCCAGATACACCGACTAAACCACTGTGTTGAAACTTCTAGCGCATCACAAGGTGACAGTATGTATCAACTATCAAATGTAGGTAGGGGAGGTAAGGCAAATATTGGTCGGTGGTGTATCATTGGACATAGCCTGTCCGCGCCTCTGCAAAATCTGACAAAGGGGAATAAAAGGACTAACGTACGTTTCTCTCGAGTTTGATTTTCACTGTAAACATCTTTTTTCGGACATGAGATTTGCTGATAGAATGACTGGGAAAACTGGTTACCGCACAGTGCAGGCATTGGGGAGATGAATAATATCGGCAAAATATTTTTGAACACTGATGGAGTGCCGTGGCGTTAAACGCTGCGTAATTGATAAATAAGTGCAATTGTTATTTGCTTTTGTTAGCTAACCCGATCACATAAAGGTTAAAAAAAGGCATTACAATGTCGTCAAACTGAGCCGCCCAGCCCAATCCATTCAGCCAGGAGTCGACAATATTCGCAGATCGCGCCGTTTATCTAGTTTTATCGACTGGCTCATAGTTGGCCGCACCGTTCCTCAAGCTTGAAAGGCCCGGGCTTCGTAGTCGGTTGTGATTATTTTGCCGGTGTTTGGCTGTGACTGCAGCTTTCCCTCGATATAACCGTCAGGTCAAGGTCAGGTCATGGTCAGGTCAAAAGGGTAGGTCAAATTTTGTAGTGGAACAAACACAAATGGGATGATACCTGCTACTCGCAGAAGTTTAAAACAGGTACTTTCAACATTGATGTCACCGGCTTCATTGAAGCCTTCAAGTTGGGTATGTTTGAAATTTTGCGGGGGAGAGAGCATTCAGTACCAGGGCTGCGGAGTCCATAGAGGCATAGACCTTCAGTGACTCCTACTCCGACTACGACTCCGGCTTCCAACAATCGACTCCGACTCCGACCCCGACTCCGGGCAGAACTGTCGACTTTGGCCGACCTCGACTCCGACTCCGCAGCCCTGTTCAGCACATAACACCAGTCGTTTTCCCGCCTGCAGCGCAAACTCAGCTCATCGTGGTGTTGATTTGATCATGCAGAGATTAGCGCCAACAACACCGAGGCCGACACACCAGCGGGGTCCGCTACCGCCACACGCAACCGGTGTGTGGGGAACAGACAGCAGAGAGACGGAGCGACTTACTTGATGAGCTCCACGATCTTGGAGCAGGCCTCTTCGGTGAGCTGTTGGCGGTCGTCGCCGGGGTCGGGAGCGGCGCCCGCCCTGCCCGCTGTCCGCTCCTGCAGCTCCGCCAGCTCCTGAGGGGTGAGACGGATCAGATTAGGTCAGGTACGTCAACTACAACTACAACCCTGCAGCTACAACTCCTCAGATCCACAACGTAGGTGAGCACTTGTGAGAACAGGGTCATGGCCTGATACTGAGTTTTAACAGCACAGGTCAGGTCAGCGAGAGACAGGTCAGTGAGAGGCCAAGTCAGATGCAGGGACCTGGGATGGGTCATCCAGAGGGACAAGACCATACACCAGGGAAGGCAATGCAGGTCGGGTCAATTCGGGTTGGGTCAGGTAACGTTCAGGCCATCCATTGTCACCATACCATAGATCTCCTCTTTTCTCACCGCAACGTAGCTCCCCCCATCCTAACCGTAACGTAGCCCTCTCCCTGTTCTCATAATCACGTAGCTCTCCCCTGTTCTCCCCACCACATAGCTCTCTCTTATTCTCACCACAATAACGTAGCTCTCTCCCTTATTCTCATCATAGCATAGCTCTCGCCCTTATTTTCACCACAGCGTAGCTCTCTCCCCTCCCATTCTCACCATAGCGTAGCTATCCATATCCTCGACAAACTGCCCGGTGAGCAGCGACCCGAAGTCGGCATCGGCCGCCCAGAACTGTTTGAGGTCGCACAGGGAGCGCGAGGCGAGCTGTCCGACCCAAGCCGGCTGCGTGGGGTCGATATGCCACCCCACTAGAATGTCCACAGTGTCCTGTCGGCGGGAGGAGAGGGGCATGTCAGAAAGGGTATCATCAGAGGAGTTAAAGGGTTGAGGGGAATTCTAGAATGTCAGAGGTGGTTGGGCTTTAGAGGAGTCAGTGTCGTCACTTCTTGGCGAGAGGTGATGGCAGATGAGAGAAGAGACGAATATCGAGCCATGCCACAAAAAGATGAAGGCCCTACATCTTTTCTGTGGTGGTAAATCTCTATCACTCTTATGTACTTATCTGCATCACCAAGATTTTTCATTAATTAAAATATACCTGAAACTTTCCAGATGTAACTAACTATATATGCATCGCGACTAGTTGGATTATTCAACACCGATCCTGACTAGGAACTCCCCCATCCTATCGAAACACATACTAGAAAACCCCGCTCCCAGCACGCACCCTGAAGTGCCGCTGGAAGGCGGTCGGGTAGCGCTGCAGCACAGCCGTCAGACAGGCCACGGTAGCCTGCATCAGCTCGGCAGAGTCCTGCGTCTCCAGGGCCAGCTGCAGCTGCGACACCGTGAGCTCGGAGACGGTGGACAGACTGCGGCCAGAGTCCAGACGGTAGGCCTGCCGGAGGGAAGGGGTGTTAGCGTACACGGGTGGATGGGAAGGTGGCTAAAGAAACTGGGAGATGGGGCCAGAGAGGAAATTATGGCAAACTGACACACCTAATTTTGCGACCGATACCCCCGAACCCGATTACGATTCGCTGACGAAGTTTTGTAAATACAATTCGAAAACTCCGACCCGAACGATTTCTTGTGGAGTAAAGTCCTCATTCACTTATTACACATGATAAGCTTATGAATGATGAAGAACTATGAATGACAACTGCAAATCCTTAAACATATGTGGTCTAAAGTAATGTGGACTTATTGTAGGAGCTAAAGTAAATCACATAATCATGTAAAAAAAAAATGTTGAGTGATATATAAAATAAACCGCCTCACTCAGGTTTCCTCATGGAAGTCAATGCTATAACATATGCTGAGAAATCACATAGCCACCTTAGATCATATCATCTCGATATAGTAGCTCTTATTACGCTTTATAAATCGGCAGGGAACAGGTTACCATCCATCACGGTTAAGTAATTGGTGTGTGTATCTCCGCAGACCCAATATCTTACCTCTTCCAGCGCAAACAGGTAGTTTTTCTTCATGTTGTTGGAGCCGGTCTGTTTGTATCTGTCCAGCACCCAGGTCACAAACCTGACGCAACAGAGCAATGGGTGTCAGCGGAGCTTACAGAGCGGCCGTGGGCACAGTCGCGCGCTGCTACCGCTGTAAAGTCACGAGTACAAATCTGCACTGAAAATTGTAAAGTCTTGTCTGGGTCTACTCTATATTGTCCCCATTCGATGGTAGCTAATAGCTACTACTACACTCATCAAGCAAATCGTCAGACATATAGGTACTCTCAATTACCATTGTGTTTCCACTCTAGAATTCGCAACAACTATCAAACCCATTTGCTATAGGTTCATCACGAGTCACTCGACCATCCGGACATCCCATCCCGTACTTCTATTTCCCCATTCATCGTGCGCACCCCTCTCCCGTTTACCACCTCAACTCCTCATTCCCATCCTCCAACCACTCACGTCTACTCATCCCCATCAACCATCTTCCCGTCCTCGTCTTTTCCTCGTTTACTGCCTCCGTTCCCTCCTGGTCCCTCTCCCCGTTCATCCCCCTCCCTCCTACCCTCTCACCGTTTGGCGTCATTGCCTCCGGCCAGCACCAGCCCGAGGCGAGCTATCACGGCGGCCACCTGCTGGCGTCCGGAGGCGCCCGGCGCCGCCTTCAGAGCATCCTGTAGCCAGCTGAGCAGGTAGTCGGCCGCCCGGCGCACGTAGCGCGCGTTCTCCGGCGCCAGCACCGCCTCCTGGCGGCGGGAGAAGGAAGGTCGTCAGAAGTCGTCAAAAGTCGTCGCCACGATATAACATTTAAGCTCTGATGCCAGCATGAAGATCGTGTTTTGTTAGGAATATCAAAATATGTCTACTTTTATGCCCATCAGTCTACCATGTCTAGAATGTCACTATTTGCTTTGCCATCACCTCCATCCATTAAGTCTGCATTAACACTTACTGAATCATTGGTATCTCAAAACTGTCATGCTGCCCTGATGTATCCTCCTGCATCAGCTATCCTCCTGCAGTAGACGTGGGTCTGTGTGGTCCTCCCCTGGTACAGCCACAGTGAGCGTGTATTAGCACTCCCACCGGGCATGTAGCTAAAGTGAGCAAGGGGCAGCCACGTGCCCACAGCGACCACAACAGCCCTCCCCTGGTACATACCTGCAGTGAGCGCGCGGTGGCCTGGTGTCTCTCGGGTACCTCGTCTCGGTATAGCCGCTTCAGCAGGTTCGAGATCCGGTTATCGTCACTGCGACTGTACTCTGCCGGAGCCCAGGGGGCGCCACGTCAGCGCTCTACCAGCATCACAGGGGCAGGAGGGTGCTGATTCACACACAGAAACATTGAAATAAAACATCTGTCCAGTTTGAAAGCTTGTCTCCAATACATCGCCAATGACTAGATTCAAGCAAAGGTCTAATCCTTGTTCACGGCCTTTACATAAATTATAAATGTAATAAATACCAGACAAACCAGCTCGTGTTATGACATCCCTGTACGAGCGGCACTCGTATAGGTACTCGTATAGGTATAGGTGCGCTGGAGCGAGCCGCGTCCGATGCTGCACGCCACGCTAAGGTCCCGCGATGGACCCTAGGAGCACCGCAGCCTCCCGACTCACCAGTCGTGCGCCGCGGACGCTCCGACTCGGCACCCGTCCCGGCCTCTCCAGAGTCGGAGTCAGAGTCGGCCCGCTGTCCGGCTCGGCCGTCTGCCGACACAGAGTCAGAGCCAGTGCGAGTCAACAGTCATAAAAGCTATAGCAGCTCTCACAGACTACCATATCAAATTTTAGTGCAAGCGCACACTAATTATTTTCCTTGACAGTTGGTTTAATAGACATGGTTTGCCTTGAACTGAAGACATCTGAAACAATGCGAAAACAAACTGTTACCTACTTTCGATGTACAGGTATCTTGTATTCTTGTATTGCATAATATCACCAACAGGCATGATCCCTATGATAGGTGAAGTCAAAAGATAAAATACGAAAAAAAACATGCACAATAAACTATCATAATAAAAACAGTATTCTCATGTACATTGCCCTAGAGTCTCACGGATCCGGTATAGAGGACGAGGCGCCTCTTGATGCTTCCAACAGGATCACATAACACATCAGTTTGAGGCTGGGCTTCCAGAAATTTGTTGGTGGCACGAGGACAGCGCGTAAACAGGCCGTTTGCAATGCAGTTCACTCGCCCACGCGGCACATGGAACAATGTCGACACAGCGCTGCGTGTCGCTCTGAGCGGAGCGTGTAACGAGAACGACCGTAGAAGATGAGAGGATGACACCGAACCTTTGAATACCTTGCACAAAAATATAATGTCACTCTCAATGCGCCTGGCATGTAGCGATCTCACGTCGAACAGCTTCAGCAGGTAATGATATTCAATCGAGTCATGGTGAACGTTCGTCATGTTTGCCAGCCAAATCAAAAACTTGTGTTGGACACATTCCAAACGCACGAGATGACACTTGGAAGCACCGGCCCAAACTACAGAACAGTACTCTAGGATGGCCCTAACATTTGCATTGAATGCCGCGAACACTGCTCTCCTGTCCAGTTTGCACCGCGGAGAGGTCGCCTGGAGGCTCCGCATGAGTAGCCCTAGTGCCCGATTTGCCTTTGAAACAATCACATTTGTATGGTCTGCAAAAGTAAGTTTTCGGTCAAGTACCACACCCAAATCACGAATCGAAGTCACTTCCTGCAGAGTGCTACCACTGATTTGATACACAGATGGATATATGTCTCTTTTGAGCGTGATTTTAAAAGTTTTACACTTCGAGGGATTCAGCTTGAGCCCCCAGACCGCCGCCCATTCCGTTACAGCATCAATATCGTTCTGGAGCCTTTGTACATCATCGTGATTTCTAACTTTCTGAAAAATCTTCAAATCATCGGCAAACATCAAGCAATCTGTCTTGACGACAGATGGCAGGTCGTTCACAAGGAGCGAAAAAAGCATCGGACTGAGCAAACCGCCCTCCGGCGTTCCTGAGACGACTGGGGCCCACTCTGACACCTTGCCGTTTAAAACAACTCGTTGCTTCCGCCTTCCTAAATATGACGACAGCCACTTCAGAGCCAACCCTCTCACTCCATACATGTGTTCCAGTTTGTACAGTAAAAGACGATGGTTAACGCTCTGGAATGCACTTGAAAAATCTGTGTATACCGCATCAAGTTGGACACCCTCAGATATTGCGTCATATCCACTGGACAGAAAGGTAGCCAGATTTGTGGCGCAAGATCGGCCCGGCATAAAGCCATGCTGATAGGACGAAAGTAGTGGCTGAACATGATGCATGAGTTGCTGACCGACTACCTTTTCGAAGATTTTGGCACAAATTGGGAGAAGTGATACTGAACGATAATTTTCGGGTGAACTGCGAGAACCTTTTTTGAATATCGGAACAATGTTTGCCTCAGCCCACTGTTCAGGGAAAATACCGGAAGACAGAGAAGACGAGAAAATTTTACATAGGGGGACAGCAAGCTCGTCGGAGCACTCACGCAGTAGGCGGGCACTCAGGCCATCTGGTCCACATGCTTTACCTACTGGGACGTTTCTCAGGAGATCGCGCACCGTCTCCATCGAGACGTTGAAGGACATGATATTGTCCTGACTGGCCTGCGAGATGACTGGAAAATGGGTGATGCGTGGGTTGGAAAACTTTTTTGAAAAGGTAGAGTTTAGAAGGTTGGCTCTGCCTACGTCATCCGCGACCTTCACGCCATGGTCATCTAACACTGCCATGCCCCTGTTCTGCCTGAAACACTTCAAAAATGTCCAAAAACGCTTCGGGTTAGTCGCAAAGTCTCGAACAAGACTAGACAGATATCGGTCATGTCCATCACCAGACAGTCTCTTAAATTCCGATCGCTTCCTGACAAAATCTTCTTTGATCTGAACATCACCCGGGTGACGTTTGAGTCTCTCAAACGCAGCCTGCTTGAGTTTGAGAGCTCGCCTGACACCAGCATCAAACCAGGGTGGAAATCGCTTTTTCATCGTGACAGTAGGGATGAAATCGCGTACAGCACCATCGACAATCGTATAAAACAAGGACACGGCTTCATCCGGATGCATACCATCTAACATTGACCACGGTACTGCTCTAAGCGCTTGTCTAAGTCCGTCAAAATCGGCTCGACGGTAACAGAGTGCAGTGGTGCGCGTAGCCAGAACAGCCGGCATGTGACTACACATAAACGAGATGATCACCTCGTCGTGGTCTGAGGCCAGAGAACTTGGCCTGGGCACCGCACAGACCTCTGACAGTCCACGAGCCAGCACAAGATCCAATGCGTTGTTAACCCTGGTCGCTGACGTCACATATTGTTTCAGCCCTAGCAGATCGCACTGGTCAACAAATTTGCACGCTCTTGCTGAATTACGTGTCAGCACTGGCCGACCGTCCCCACCCGGCGACGGCTCCCACTGAACCTCCGGCAGATTGAAGTCGCCCAGCAGCAGGAGCGGCCTGGTGCCGGGGAGTGACGTCATACAGTCGAACAGTTTATCCAACGAGGCGTCATCAGTGGGCGGCCGGTAGCACACAGCCACCATTAGGTTCGGACGGCCGAGCTGCAGGACTAGTGTCTCGGATCCATGGTCCGGCTCCGTGCGTCTCGTTGGTAGCATCGATGCAAGCACGCCACATGCGACACCGCCTCCAACAGCTCCCCTGTCGCGACGGAACCAGACATGGTCAGGAAACGACGCACCCAGCTCGGCGTCATCCACGCTGTCATCCAGCCACGTCTCTGTTAAGGCGATCAGGTGATGTGACCTGAGCTCCTCGGCGCTGGCTCGGAGACACCCAAACTTCCTGCGGAGGCTCTGGACGTTGTGCAGAATGGCAGTGACGTCACGCTTCCGTCCACCCGTTCGAGTGTCGGCTTTCCAGTGTCAATAGCAACGATAGAGGGGAAGGTAGCCTCTCTGTTTGTGTGTGATTTGTAATTCTAGGACGCCCGGACTCACGACGCCTCTGTTTGACAGGGATTGAACAAATACAGACACACAATGTGTGAGTTCGTTCATTAGTCAAACGCCACCCATTCCGCTTCGGATTCAATACACCTTACAACACTGAATTAGAAAAAGCCACTATTGATTCAGCTACCCTGCTCTGGAATAAAACGCTGTTTACACAGATGGTGGAACACACCTGGCTCTCGCAGCTCGCGAGCAGCGCTGCCGCGACCGGCGCCGCGCCTCTCGGGCCGAAACTTGCCCCGTGCCGGCCGCTCGCCCTCATACTTTCTGCCATTTTCGCGACGCACTGGCCTGCCCGAGTCAGCCGCCGCGACCGTGCTGCCGCCTGTTGTCCGCTTTCGGAACTTGAGCCCGCCGCCGCGGCCGTAAGGCGGCGGCGGCCGGCCGCTCTCATCCGATTTGGAAGCCAGAGTGGGCGGTCATCCAGCAAACTGAAAATGGAGGGGAGAGAGGTTAGAGCAAACATTAAGGCAAACGCAGCGAAACAGGAATACCTATCCACTGGAAATGTGAAAACTACCATCCTGGCCTGATTCAACCACTTGGCTATGCAACTAGGCTATCAACTGTCGACATGGCGTAGGTAGGTACTGCAAGGACTTGGTGGTTGGGTGACTGATGGACCATGCAAACTTCAAGCAGGTCCTGATTTTCCAGACATTTGGGTCATTGACCTAAGGTCATCTAATGACCTAAAACCTTAAAATTTGGTGCCATTGGCTTTCTCTTTGCATAAGTGACACCCTCCTTTTCTACAAAGATCTGGCTCAATCAGATGTCAGACAGCTGGGATCCCAGCTATGGAGGTCCTATGGATCCTTACCCATCTGTTAGATGCTGGGATGACAAAAACAAACTGGCCCACACCAACCAGATCCGCACTACCATACCTACTAGGTACTTACTACAATTTTCACATTATATTGATATCTGCATTTTTTTAACATGAAAAGCTGCAAAAAGGCATCTTGTGCCTGCCATACACAATTTTCTTGGACACAAATATTTTTTCTGAGATAATATTGTAAAGATAGGTATAAGGTGCAGCTTCCATTATTTTGCTTCCAATTATTACGGAGCGAGCGAAGCGAGCGTAGTCTTTCCTTAGATTAACATTCGGTGTCGGGATTCCGTGGCGATCGGACGTGCGCATCGAGCTCCTCCTTGCCTGCCAGCCCACCAGCTGATAGGCTCCAGGATCCGACGTGATTGGTCAAGGCCAAATTCCATTCCTTTTTCCAACATTCTTTTGGGAGAATTGTGCAAGTTAACCATAAAATCTCTCGCCTGGACGTCTAAAGATTAACTTCGACAAGGAAATCGAGTGGAAAATTCGAAACATGCCTCTGGATCGGTCGCCTCCGCTTTCCCGCCGAAACCAAACGGCGGCGTCAGCTGATCGCGGCGTCGGAAAACCAACGGCCAACGATAATGTCGGCGGCGTTCGTGGTGACCTTGGCGGCAACGGCGTCGGTGAGGCCGATGTTGACGACGAGATAAGTGCCAGTGGAACTGGAATCTTCGACACAGGTATGGATAAGTCCGATAAGTCTACTTCCAAACAAAATCAGGTTGGTAAACTTGACCAAAGTGTGTACAGAGCGTTTGGGCAGGAATCCGTGGGCTCACTTTCCCGCTCCTCGAGCGATACAAGCAGCGCCGAGGCGATCTGCCTGGGGGGACCCGGTAAGGTATGTGGCAATCCAGTGAAAGATGGGGAACCCGGAATTTGTTGTGACAGATGCCATGGGTGGTTTCATCCGGGCTGCCAAGGGACGCCCAAAGCAGCAGTCAGAGCACTGGATAGATTCCAGAGTCTCGCATGGATGTGCGTGAAGTGTAAATCGGACCTCAAAAGCAAAAAAGGGAAGGATCCCTCGTCATCGGAAACCGTAGAAAAAAGGCTTCAACAACTAGAGCAGGCAGTGAAGAAAAATGCTGAGCTCTTGGCTGACTCAATCAAGACCCAAAAGCAAACGGTTCAAGACCACGTATCCCTCATAGAGAAATCAGTGAAATCCCTCGAGATGCAGACGTCAAAACAATCACAGATGCTTGAACTAACTGCTCAGCAACACAAGGCATCATACGCTGAGGCGGTAAAGAGCACATGCTCAGAGGTCGCTCATGTTGTAAAAACCCAGCTTGCGCAGCTACCTAAACCAAACCAAAATGAGCAGAGAACCACTACTTCTACCACTGCTGAGCTGTCTAGAGTTCTTGACAACCACCTGGACAAGGAAAGGAGGAAGGCCAACATAGTCATTCATAACCTACCCGAACAAGGAGAGGGCACTCTGCACGAGAGATCAACACGCGACCAGTCTGCAGTCACATCCATGATCAGGGAGGTGATGAAAATAAACATCACAGCATCAAAGTCATTCCGAGTTGGAAAGGCCATTCCTGGGAAACCAAGGCTTCTTATTGTCACCCTGGACAACCCAGCTTGTAGGCAGGACGTGCTGGGTGCTCCCCAACTGCGCCACTCTGCACAGCACGGCAACATTTACATCACACCTGACCTGACCCAACAGGAACGAGAGGCAAACAGAAAGCTGAGGGAAGAGCTGGCATCCAGACGGAGATCTGGTGAGGACAACCTGAGAATCAAGGGGGGAAAGATAATCTGTGTCAATCAGGAAACAAGTAACGATGCCTCCAGCACGAGCAGGAACCCTGGTGGCACCACTGTGCCTTCTCAAACTCGTCAGGCTGGAAACATCGCCCCTGGCGCGCCTGTACCTGCCCAGACAACCGCTGTGCCTCCAGCTGTTGGCATGGCATCCGCCAGCCAGGAGGGTAGTGGCACAGCACAGAAACCTGGTGCAGTGGATGGCAATGGTGGCACACCTTTGCAAACCCCAGCACCTAGCTCAGAAGCCCACCCAGCAAATGGTTTGTGACTAAACCACCCAACCTCTCGCAACAAGAAGAATCTCACGGTTTTATACACAAATGCTGACCAGTTTATTAACAAACGAGATGAACTGTGCCTGCTGATTTGCGGTGATGAGCCTGACGTTATCCTCATCTCTGAGGTAATTCCCAAAGCCCAGAGAAACCCCATTGCTCCTGCACTGTTAAATATCCCAGGTTATGTAATGCATTCCAGTTTCGATCTATCCACCCCAAACCTAGGCCAGAGTGGAACTAGAGGCGTATGCATTTACACGGCAATACACCTGAAGGTAACAGAGGTTCATCTAGAAAAAGCATCTGTGGAGAACACCTGGGTAAGATTGTGCCTCGCAGGAAGTGATAGCCTTCTGGTGGGCTGTGTCTACCGTAGCCCATCTGGTGCAATGCAGGAAAGCACAAAGCAACTTGGAGAACTCTTCCAGAAGGCCTGCTCACTGCATGCTTCACACCTGATCATTGTTGGCGATTTCAACTTCCCCCACATTGACTGGGAGTCTGAAACATCATCTGCACCTGCATCTCATTGCTCACACCTGTTCTTAGATATGGTACATGACTGTCTTCTCTCTCAGCACATCAAGCGCCCGACTCGATACCGATCGGGCGAGACACCGTCAGTGCTGGACCTGATCTTTACCAACGAGGAGGGCATGGTGAAAGACATGCAGTACCAATCTCCACTAGGAAACAGTGACCATGTGGTCATTCGGTTTACTCTCTCCTGCTACACTGAAGCTCCCGCCTCACTCCCCGAGTATCACACCATAACTGACTACGAACACCTCTCCACTGCCCTTGGTGAACAAAACTGGTCCGATATGCACAGCATGAACCTGGATGAGGCATACCAGACGTTCAAAGCGCGGCTCTCGGAGGCCCTGACCGAAAGCTCCAGGAAGAGGAGATCGCGTCATAAGAAAAACATCTACATGAACTGCAGAGCCATGCAACTGAGGAAGAAAAAGAAGTCGCTCTGGACTACATACCGATACACGCTTGACCCCATCGACTACGCCAGGTTCACACGCTGCAAAAATGAACTCAGGAAGCTCACCAGAACTCTACGCAAGGAATACGAGTCCAAGCTAGCTGGCAATCTGAAACAGAACCCAAAGGCCTTTTGGAGGTATGCCAACACGAGGCTTCGCACCAGGAGCAGAGTTGACAACCTGCTAAACGAACGGGGAGACCTGACATCATGTGACCAAGACAAAGCTGACATGTTGGGCAAGTACTTCAGCAGCATCTTTACCCATGAAGATACTGAAGCACCGGATACGGACCTTGATTGGCAGGGCCCCTTCCTCGATAATGTTGAAGTATCTCCCCAGAAAGTGGAAGGAAAGCTGCTGTCCCTCAAGACAACCAGCGCGCCGGGGCCTGACGGGATACACCCCCGAACCCTTCGCGAGTCAGCACTGGCCCTCTCCTCCCCTCTGAGCATACTGTTCCGCAAGTCCTTGGACACTGGGTCGCTTCCCTCGGACTGGAGGACAGGCGAGATCACCCCGATCTTCAAGAAGGGTGACCGCCAACGCCCCTCGAGCTATCGTCCAATCACTCTGACTGCCATCCCTGTCAAAGTCCTCGAATCAATTGTCCGAGACGCCCTCCTCCAACATTTCCGCGAAAACGGTCTGCTCTCCAGCGCCCAGCACGGCTTCCTCCCAAAGAGGTCGTGTACGACACAACTGATGGAGGCAATCGAGGACTGGAGCACCGCCATCGAAAACGGAGACAACATCGACATCATCTACCTGGACTTCGCCAAGGCGTTCGACTCTGTGCCGCACCAACGTTTGATCCGCAAGTTGTTTGCATACGGCGTCCGGGGCCCGCTTCTCAACTGGATCGCAGCCTTTCTGATCGATCGCCGACAGAGGGTTGTGGTCCACGGATGCAAGTCCTCATGGGCCCCTGTGACCAGTGGTATTCCACAGGGATCGGTTCTCGGACCTGTACTGTTCACAATATTTGTCAACGATCTTCCCTCGGAGGTCACTGGTTCGGTCAAACTGTTCGCCGACGACACGAAACTATACCGCCGCGTCCTGGGTAGCAGCAATGACCTCCAGACTGACATCGATGCGCTCGTCCGCTGGTCTGAGAAGTGGCTGCTCCCTTTCAATGCCCAAAAGTGCAAGGCGATGCACCTCGGCCACCGGAACCCGGAACACGCGTACTATTTGAACGGCATCCTGATCCAGAACGCTGAAGAGGAGAAAGACCTCGGCATCGAAATCGACAACCAACTCAGTTTTCACAAGCAGACCGCGTCAGCCGTCGCTAAAGCCTCACAGATTCTGGCCGTCGTGAGACGCTCATTCGCCAACATTGACGAACACACGCTGCCGCTTCTCTACAAGACCATGGTTCGGCCCCTCCTAGAATATGGGAACACAATCTGGGGACCTTTTGGGAAAGAGGACCAGAAGAGGCTTGAACGCGTGCAACGTCGTGCAACAAGAATGGTCGCACAAATCAAGCACCTCCCGTACCCTGAACGACTCCGTCGACTGGGACTACCATCACTCTACTACCGGAGGCGCAGAGGCGACATGGTGACCGTATATCAGCTGCTGCACGGAGGGTTGGCCATATCGCCAGAAAGCTTCTTGACCCGGAGCAACTCAGCTCGAACCAGGGGCCACGAGTGGAAGCTCGAGAAACCGAGGGCCACCAAACTCGTGCGCAGAAACGCGTTCAGCTTCAGGGTCATCAACGACTGGAACTCCCTACCAAGTGCGGTGGTCACGGCACAGTCCGTCAACCAGTTCAAGGCCCAGCTGGACAAGCACTGGGGTGGCATCATGTACGACACCCCCTATCCCTGAGAGCCTAGCCTGTATCCCGACACGAGCTCGATGAGAGCGGGATCCCCAGGCCAAGTGGCCTTTTCAATCCCGATCACCACGAAGGTAAGGTAAGGTAAGGTATTAACGGAAATTTCTGAGTATGAGCGGCCGGCCGGCCGGCCGTGCGGACGCTTTTGCGAGGCTTATATCTCAGCAACCACTTGACCGATTTACACGGGGTAATTTTTGTAGGCTAGCTTCATTCCTTCTACCAAGTATTGGACTATTGCCGATGCATGTGGGTGACCCCTTATGCACGTGCCACGCGCAAAACTAAGAGGTGTCAGTTTTGTAATTGTTGCAATATCTCGGTAACTACTTGGCCGATTGCGCTGAAAGTTGGCATGTAGGTAGGCACCCACTAGGCAGTGCATATCCATGTGCCAGAGTTGGGGTGCTGCTGCACGTGCGCACGTGCAGGGGTCGTTTCCAGATCTCGAGAACGGCTGGACCGATGGCGCTCAAATTTGGTACACGGTTAGGGACCAGTTAGTAGGGTGCCGTGCACAAGTCAGTTGGGACCCATTCTGCACGTGCGCACGTGCAGGGTGCCGCTTCCAGATCTCGAGAACGGCTGGGCCGATTGTGCTCAAATTTGGCACATCGCTAGAGACCGGTTAGTAGGGTGCCGTGCACAAGTCAGTTGGAGGTACCCCCTCGAAATTTCGCACGTGCAAGGCTCACCCTCTCGCTCGCTCCGTTAGTCGCCCCAAAAGGCGCTATACTGGTCTTATCAGTATATCACATAGGCATGTATTTTCAGTCTTGCCCTATTATCTTCAAATGTGGATATGGGGAAAGGCTCTGGGAGCAAAGCCAAGCCCCTGAAGTGATTGTGACTATCAGGATTTCAGGACAAATCTTTGTAAAACCTTTATTCGTCACGCAGTTATTTCTCCGCATTTATTTGTGCTCCAAGCTTCATCAGTGCATTTATTTGTCTTGCATTGCATGGTATATGCAAAATGCAAATACTCTTAGAGAAATTTGTTGTGTCTGCATTTTTTGGCAGTGCATTTCTTCATTTCACTTTTACACACATTACATTATTTGAAATTCTGAATCCAAATATGATGCTTACATGTGGTGCAAAAGGAAAAAAATAAACAATCTAACATGACCTAACCTTGATTATCACCTACCTACTAACCTACAACCTATGAGTCTAAAGCCTACCAAGTCCCTGGCCTAAAACACAACCTACAACCAACAACTTCTGTCATTGCACATTCGCCGTAACCACGCCACAATTGACATTTGACAATCAAACCTTTTGTAAATAAATACCAATTTGACTAAACGGGGATTTGCAAACAAAAATTTGTGAAGATTTGCAGAGATGAACTAAAAAGAAATCCAGGGATGAAAAATGTGAATTCAGTTGGGGAAACTACGAGGCGAATGTCAAAAAATTGATTGGTCAATAAATGGACTTTTGATGACCATATATGGGCATAAATGCAGCCCCCGCTACTAAGGGTGAAAAACGGTATAACAAGCCGGTACTTGCGGTATCGTGTCCACTTATTGGAGAGAAAAGGCTTCCATTTTTCACTAGGAATTAGCGTGATTTGATTAAATTCGGCGAATTGACTCGAAAATGGCGTTAGGAAAACAGCTTTTCTGCAGGTTCTGGGCGTCACAATCAGCTGGCCATTCAATAAATGGATTGGTTTTATGAAAGAAATTTGTTAAAAGATTTAATTTAACTACAATAAACAAACATATTTAATTCAAAAATAATAACTTAACCACAATTAGAAAAACCATAAACAAAATAATAAAAATGACATTTTTAACCCACGGTACTGCTTACATTTTTTGGCGCGTCTGTTTCAATCCGCCATGTTTGCCAATCACGGTTTGACCTTGCGTTGTAACTCTGCGATTTAGAGCCGCCAGTTAATTATGCACCGGGTGAGTGTAGGTCTTGTGTGGTTAAAAAACATTCTTATGCCTTCTTTTTTCATTTGAATGCTAATATTCATTGAAAAGATGAAGTTGTCTGATTTTATGACCATATATGGTCATCACCCCGCCCACTCCAGCCGCTGATTGGCGAATCCAATTTTTGTTTGGCTCCTCGTAGTTTCCCCAACTGAATTGAGGAACTGTGACATGACGATGAAACAACACAGATACGAAGACAGAAGAAATGCGACACAAATCAATTGTTTGAGCTTATGATGAAATGTGGGATGAAGTAATGCGATACGAGGAAATGCACAGACAAAAAGTGTGTTACGAAGAAAAGCCATACGAGGATTTGTCGTGGTACATAATGTTTATCATCGTCAGTTCAAAATTTGATCGAACTTTACCTCAAATCCCACAACTTGTATCTGGGCCATTTAAACAGACCAGCTTAAACAGAGCCTTTCAACTTACTGGTGAGTATTCGTAATCTTAAGAACGCCCGAAAGACCACCAACCACTTGCAACAAATCCACAAAAACAATTACAATTTTCACCCAGCCTCGATAAGATAGCAGTAAAGGCCCGATTCCACTACATCGCTCATTTGAGAAGAGCTACCAAGTTGCATATCATATTTCGTTTTTTTCCATTCTATGTTTGGTTTTTAACCTTTTTTAAACAGAAATTTTTATTCAAATCAGCCATGAGTTTTTAATCCTCAAGTTTGCACTATTATTACCAAAATAAAAAAGAAAAGAAACCGTATTCAAGCATAATTTTAAATTCGGTGTAAAACAACTTTTATAAAATCGCGTCAATTTTGAACATGCGTCATTTTCATCATTGTCAAATGCCTGCTAAAACGCTGCTATAAAACGTAATCGGAAAAATCCCCCACCTTCCTACATCTTCAAAAATTTTATGTTGGGCTAACACAAGGCTGCGACGTGTTACGAGGCGTACTTGAAGACTCCAGTGTCCTGCAATCACTAAAATGCTGCTAAATGAGTCTAAATCGAATCCTAACAGAGATCTTTGCCCTAGTCCACAGCAGCCGCTTCCCGTCGCTACCTGCGCCCTGTTTCACGGCACGGCAATGCACTACTCGTATCGTCGCATTGGCCATTGGGTCTCCATGCAAAAATCAACAGGGTAGAATAAAAAATGGTAGAATAAAAGAGCAGGGTAGAATAAAAAAAAAAACTGCAGCGGGTAGCGGTGTGCCGTGAGGCAGTGTCCATGTCAAAAGTCGACTTGGTAAGGGCACTGACTGATACAGGCACTTTCAACCGGGTCAGTTGATTCAAGACCGTCTAAGGGTTCTTATGCTGGCCCAGCTCGGACTATTGATAGAGGGATAATAAGTAAGCGTAACCACGTTCGCCCACGCATCAGGCACCATCCGTTTACCGTCGTATGACGTTTACTTACTCCTACTCCTTTCAACTCCACATGTGTCAACCCTCACATCATCCAGCAGCCCGGCCTCCTCCCGCAAGGGGTGGGGCCTCAGACAAAGATACAGTGAGCGTTCGCATTGACGTTGGTTTATTCATTACTCTGAAGGTTTCCTGGATACATATTACATAATGCATAATGCCCTAACACATTATTCATGGCATAGACAGCATACATACATTTGGTCCCAATTCATATTCTAGCAACAATCTCAACCCAAACGCAGATAAACACACGATTCGCGCCGTCAAACACTGCCGTTATTTCGTGACATAGACCCTCGCTTTTTTGTCTACTATAGTGCCCGTATCAAGCAATGCCAGGCACCTCATCGAGATACATCAGGCGCCCTATCGAGAATCATAAGGCGTCATATTGAAACATATAAAATAACAGATGCCATGATCAATAATAAGGAGCGATTGCAGTCACCAGTGATAAGTCAATGGCTACCAGACTAATGTTCCCAGAAAGACACATCACACATGCGCATATTGAAAACGGATATAGGAAGTTACGTAATGGTACGGTTAGCCGTAAAATACGTCTCTGCCAAACGCCGAGCATTCACGATTGTAACACATTACGGCACGGTCCAGCAACATTCTCCATGTGATCCGGCATACAGGATCGTACTTCAGGGCGGCGCCAACTTACGTACGATATCATATATGCTGCCACAAAATACTCCCTGGGAGCATTATGTAGACGCAAACAATGGCTATATGCACCACCTTCGCACTAGAGTGAGAAAGATAGATGGTCATAAAAATACATGCTCATATGCAACCGATTCATTGCACAGTTAGTGGTTTAACGTTACAATGTGTGCTGTCAAACGTTCGAAAAAAGATGAATGGTCAGAATCGCTCCGAATCACACCCTGGATAACGAACACTATCCTTGCCAACTAACCCAACAACCCACACTACACAGAAAGCCTTCCGACTAAGGCGATTACCGCCCCTGACACACAGACTGCCGAGTTGCTCCTTACGAACGCTGAGTTCCGACACACCGCCGCCTCACCAGGGCACTGGGTTGCCGCGCCAGTCGACAAACTCCCCGGTTCGGCGCTGGGGTCGCAGTGCCTCGCGCACCACGCCCTCGGCGCTCTCCTCCACCGTGATATCGGCCGTTCGACCGCCCGAGTTACCCATGTCGGTGGCCACCCAGCCCGGGTGAATGGCCAGGAATTCCACCTCGGTGATCGCCGTGGACATGGCCCTGTGGACGGAGACGGGGGGGGGGGGGATATTGTGTGAGGGAGGTGATACAGCGCTGGAAGAGATGTTACCAGGGCCGATGTCGTTAGCAGTTCCTAGACCTCCCATTTTCCATTAAAGAAAGGCGTAGCAATATTCAGCCAAGGACGAAAACAAAACATCAGTCATGCGAACCAATGTTTCGAACAATGAACAATAATCTTGTAGATTTACGATTGTTTATATTTATGTCACACAACGTTGCTGTTATGTCAACGCTAAAACATCCTAGCTCCGTCATCGTAACAAATTAAAATGTTCGCCGTGGAATTTTCTTGATAAAAAGAGTTCAGTTCGGCACCTCACTGTATTTCTTGACTCGAGACAGACGAGAGATAGAGAGATAGAGACAGTCCAGGAGAGTGACCGAGAGCAAGAGAGACTGGGTCACATAGCGAGTGACCGAGCGTGAATCGTCGGTGGGCTGCCGAGACTCGGCAGAGACTGACCAAGACTAAAGACCGACCACGACTGAGACTCAGACGGAGACTGCCCACCCGGCGGCGGCCGGCGCAGTCGACGACTCCGAGTAGGGGTCGCCTCGGTCGTACAAGCTCTGACATATGGCCTATAGCGGCTGACAATGTTACAGTCATAAAGAGTATCGTCCGCCACCACCCTTGTCTGCCTAAGTCAATGCCAGAGGTTATTACGGAGCGAGCGAAGCGAGCGGAGTCTCATACTGAATTAAGGGAAAATCCTGAGTATGAGCGGCCGGCCGGCCGTGGGGACGCTGTTCAAAAGCTAATATCTTAGGAACGGGACATCCGATTGACAAGCGGTCTTCTTTACTGAATGTCACTTGGACGTAAAAGTTCTGTGGTGTGATGGCCACCATGCGTTCTTGCCAACCACCGCACGTGGCGCGTGATAAAGTTGGACATTTTTTTAAGAACCCCCAAAATTGCAACCTCAATAACGGCACAACGGTTGGGCCGATTGAATTGAAACTCGGTACACAGGTCTCCATCAGATAATTCATCTGCATGTGTTAAGGTTGGGGTGCTACAGCACGTGCGCACGTGCAGGGGGCGCTCCCAGATCTCGAGAACGGCTGGGCCGATTGCGCTCAAATTTGGTACACGGTTGGGGACCAGTTAGTAGGTGACCCAGACCTGACCCAGACGAAGTTACTCACACTGTAGCCATGTTGCCGGCCGCCTTGCTGATGCGGTAGGAGAAGAAGTGGTCCGGAGCCAGGGCGCCGCGCTCCTTGCACACGCTGAAAACGAGGCGTTCACGAGAGTTCATTGCACAGGTTACACACAGTTGAGGGTGACACTCGCGACTTTTTCTCGACCTGGTCCTGTCACTGCTGTCCAAAATATTGACAGCAAGAAATATTTTCAATTTATTTTTTGTAACATAGAATAAAACGAAATAAATAAATAACCACCGTTCAAAAACACTTGGGCACCTACATTGTGTATCGCTCCAGATCAATCCACAACACCTGATCAAGGCATCTCCCGGCATCAGCCTCTCCCTCCCCTCCTCTCTCACCCGATGGAGCCCAGCAGTGAGGAAATGTTGACGACCCGTGGCCTGGGGCTGGCCCGGAGCAGCGGTAAAAACACCTGGGTCACCCGCACCAGGCCGCCTACGTTCGTTTCCAGCAGCCGGTTCAGTTCAGTCAGCTGCGCCGTCTCACACGGGTCCACCGGGTGCGTCTTGACAGAGATGCCTGGGGAGAAGAGGGAGTCACAGGGGTCCACGGGGTGGGTTCTGATGGAGTTGTCTGGTGTGAGGAGCTGGGAGGGATCACATGTGTTCATTGAAGGTCTTAGAGATGCTTTGAGGCTGAGTGCATACTGCCCCCATGCTCAGGCTATCAGTGAAGAAACTAAAGTATAAGTTTGACCAAAGACATGTGTACTTGTGTATGTATCTGGTACACAGATGATGTCTATGGTTTGAGGTTGGTTTGACTTTGTAAATTTAACCACCCACCACCTCAATTCATTTCCTGTGATGCATCACTCCCTCCCATTCCACCCCACTCTCCACCGACCAGCGTTGTTGATGAGGAGGTCCACGCGGCCGGCCGCCTCTTTCACAGTCCCGTAGGCAGCCTGAATGGACGCCTCGTCGGTCACATCGAGCGCCACGGCGGCCGGCTGCTCCAGTGACGTCAGAAGGCCACTCAGCTGGCTGGCTGACGCCGGGTTACGGCATGTGGCGAACACCTGCAGGATTACAGAGGTCGGTCGGGCTTGGATCGATCACGATCCGTAACCAATAAGTACGTAACGGCAAAAGTGCGCATTGCTAAAAATAAATCTAACCTGACCTAACCTAACCCAGCCTAACCTAGCACCATAAAACCTAACCCAGCATAACCTAAAATTAAAACCATAACCTATTACCTAACCTACTATGTATCTACGTTGGTACATTTTGGCTCTACCAACATTGGCGATACGCAGGGTATATTGAGTGAAGGCGATACGTACTTTTGGGGGTTAACAGCGCCATCTACAATCTTTATCAGCGGTAGCGCCATCTATCAACTTTATGCAGTGAGACTACGCCATTGTCTCGTCACAGTCAGAGACTGCGGTCATTATTGATAACCACCGCTCAACACAAGGCCCCAAAACAGCTCAACATTTCTATTAAACATGTGGTCAGCACATAACACCCTTTCATACCTTGAAGTTGTTCTTGACCAGTTCAGATACCATGGCCAGGCCTATTCCCCTGGAGCAGCCTGTCACCACTGCAACCTGCATACCCTTGGATGACATCTCAGTCCAACCTGAAACTATGTACATAAACATTAGTCAATACAGCACAGGTAAGTTCCTATCCAGCACATGCAACACACAATTGCTTAACACAATGAAAGGAAATTGGACAGCTTAATATAGGGCATCATTGTAACTAAACTAATTCTGTTGTCATCTTGATCTTTTTGCTAGTGCCTGATTGTGATGCTCAGTTCTCAATAATACAAATAAATGATCTAAAGAAGCCTTTCGAGGGGCTACAGGTCAATGATGGGTACTAATATCAATATGTTCACAATACAACATTGATAATTGAACCATAGATCATTGAACCAAATACAAAAATGCACATCCATGTGTAAGATAGAAGCTCACCAAGTTATCAATTAAAATCAGTAGAAGCAGAAAACAACATCCAGATTAGGACTGCCCTAATACTTCATAAAGGCATTAAGAAAAAAAGCTTTATTGACACAGACATAATTATCAGAAAATTAGGTATTGGTAAAACAGTTACTCAATGCCCCATGTGGTTCAAAATTCTTATGGTCTGCCTTTCTTAGGTTATGAATAGCAGTCATTACCATGCAATATGCCATGGGGCCTTTTTCAAAATACTGAAATTATTGACAATGCTCTGGCACTACCTTGACCTGACAAAAAAACATGAGTCATGCATAAACCTATATTGTTCAAGAAATTACATAAGCTTCACAGAAAGAGAGTTATGTAACACATTGGTGAATGATGAGACACAACACCTTTGAACTCCACATAAAATCAAATTCAAAATGCGTTGATCGCCCCCGGTCCCTCCTCTACTCAATATTCTTACAGACTTCCCCTACTTACCTTGCGAACTGAAACGTGCAATACCAGATTGTACTTCTCCTGACTCTTGAGTCTTGACCTGACCCCCTGAGCTGAGATCTAGCGTCTGAAAGATCAACTAAGAAGAGTAGGATCACAAGATCGCCTTGACATCAAATGTGTTGTTGGAGTAATATATTAAGAATGTCGCCAAGTTCGTAGGCGAGCGTAGTGCCGAACGAGGACACTTAAAGGGACCATCCAACCTTAACATTAGTTTTGAGTTGAGATAGCCAAGTTTGCGGCCAGGCTCAGAAACCACCATTTATCCTGGTCGCAACCCCCGCAGCTTTATGGTGTTCAAGAAATTTCTTCCCTTTACTTGCAGGGATGTAACGGAAGTTGGCACAGATTCAGCACAGATTCAGCACAGCACAGATTCGGTAGGGGGAAAAAAGGCCCTGGTAGAGGGAAACCTTTATGACCCGTTTTCCCCTAGAAATGACGTCACAAAGAGGTAAAAATGGATATCAATCGAAAGCTCTCGTTTACCCAGACACAGTCCTGCAGAAAAATTTCACTTTTTCCCCATAGGAAAGTTTTTACGGGAAAATCAAAATTTTGGGTCAATGGGGGGTCCCCCCCGATTTCGTTCAAAATCGGCACACAGGTGCCCCACCACCAGCCGAGAAACTTTCCCCAAAACGGTCCCCGTTGCATTGACGTTTAAGGCCCGTAAAGCCCCCTAGACTCGTAAAATATCCGTAAAATCGCCTTTGTACGGACAAAAAAGTGGTGCTATGGTAAAAATGGGTATCAATCGAAAGCTCTCGTTTACCCAGACACAGTCCTGCAGGAAAATTCCACTTTTTCCCCATAGGAAAGTTTTTACGGGAAAATCAAAATTTTGGGTCAATGGGGGTCCCCCCCCGATTTCGTTCAAAATCGGCACACAGGTGCCCCACCACCAGCCGAGAAACATTCCCAAAACGGTCCCCGTTGCATTGACGTTTAAGGCCCGTAAAGCCCCCTAGACTCGTAAAATATCCGTAAAATCGCCTTTGTACGGACAAAAAAGTGGTGCTATGGTAAAAATTGTTATCAATCGAAAGCTCTCGTTTACCCAGACACAGTCCTGCAGGAAAATTCCACTTTTTCCCCATAGGAAAGTTTTTACGGGAAAATCAAAATTTTGGGTCAATGGGGGGTCCCCCCCGATTTCGTTCAAAATCGGCACACAGGTGCCCCACCACCAGCCGAGAAACTTTCCCCAAAACGGTCCCCGTTGCATTGACGTTTAAGGCCCGTAAAGCCCCCTAGACTCGTAAAATATCCGTAAAATCGCCTTTGTACGGACAAAAAAGTGGTGCTGTGGTAAAAATGGGTATCAATCGAAAGCTCTCGTTTACCCAGACACAGTCCTGCAGGAAAATTTCACTTTTTCCCCATAGGAAAGTTTTTACGGGAAAATCAAAATTTTGGGTCAATGGGGGGTCCCCCCCCGATTTCGTTCAAAATCGGCACACAGGTGCCCCACCACCAGCCGAGAAACTTTCCCCAAAACGGTCCCCGTTGCATTGACGTTTAAGGCCCGTAAAGCCCCCTAGACTCGTAAAATATCCGTAAAATCGCCTTTGTACGGACAAAAAAGTGGTGCTATGGTAAAAATGGGTATCAATCGAAAGCTCTCGTTTACCCAGACACAGTCCTGCAGGAAAATTCCACTTTTTCCCCATAGGAAAGTTTTTACGGGAAAATCAAAATTTTGGGTCAATGGGGGGTCCCCCCCGATTTCGTTCAAAATCGGCACACAGGTGCCCCACCACCAGCCGAGAAACTTTCCCCAAAACGGTCCCCGTTGCATTGACGTTTAAGGCCCGTAAAGCCCCCTAGACTCGTAAAATATCCGTAAAATCGCCTTTGTACGGACAAAAAAGTGGTGCTATGGTAAAAATTGTTATCAATCGAAAGCTCTCGTTTACCCAGACACAGTCCTGCAGGAAAATTCCACTTTTTCCCCATAGGAAAGTTTTTACGGGAAAATCAAAATTTTGGGTCAATGGGGGGTCCCCCCCGATTTCGTTCAAAATCGGCACACAGGTGCCCCACCACCAGCCGAGAAACTTTCCCCAAAACGGTCCCCGTTGCATTGACGTTTAAGGCCCGTAAAGCCCTCTAGACTCGTAAAATATCCGTAAAATCGCCTTTGTACGGACAAAAAAGTGGTGCTGTGGTAAAAATGGGTATCAATCGAAAGCTCTCGTTTACCCAGACACAGTCCTGCAGGAAAATTTCACTTTTTCCCCATAGGAAAGTTTTTACGGGAAAATCAAAATTTTGGGTCAATGGGGGGTCCCCCCCGATTTCGTTCAAAATCGGCACACAGGTGCCTCACCACCAGCCGAGAAACTTTCCCCAAAACGGTCCCCGTTGCATTGACGTTTAAGGCCCGTAAAGCCCCCTAGACTCGTAAAATATCCGTAAAATCGCCTTTGTACGGACAAAAAAGTGGTGCTATGGTAAAAATGGGTATCAATCGAAAGCTCTCGTTTACCCAGACACAGTCCTGCAGGCAAATTCCACTTTTTCCCCATAGGAAAGTTTTTACGGGAAAATCAAAATTTTGGGTCAATGGGGGGTCCCCCCCGATTTCGTTCAAAATCGGCACACAGGTGCCCCACCACCAGCCGAGAAACTTTCCCCAAAACAGTCCCCGTTGCATTGACGTTTAAGGCCCAGAAAGCCCCCTAGACTCGTAAAATATCCGTAAAATCGCCTTTGTACGGACAAAAAAGTGGTGCTATGGTAAAAATGGGTATCAATCGAAAGCTCTCGTTTACCCAGACACAGTCCTGCAGGAAAATTCCACTTTTTTCCCCATAGGAAAGTTTTTACGGGAAAATCAAAATTTTGGGTCAATGGGGGGTCCCCCCGATTTCGTTCAAAATCGGTACACAGGTGCCCCACCACCAGCCGAGAAACTTTCCCCAAAACGGTCCCCGTTGCATTGACGTTTAAGGCCCGTAAAGCCCCCTAGACTCGTAAAATATCCGTAAAATCGCCTTTGTACGGACAAAAAAGTGGTGCTATGGTAAAAATTGTTATCAATCGAAAGCTCTAGTTTACACAGACACAGTCCTGCAGGAAAATTACACTTTTTCCCCATAGGAAAGTTTTTACGGGAAAATCAAAATTTTGGATCAATGGGGGGTCCCCCCGATTTCGTTCAAAATCGGCACACAGGTGCCCCACCACCAGCCGAGAAACTTTCACAAAACGGTCCCCGTTGCATTGACGTTTAAGGCCCGTAAAGCCCCCTAGACTCGTAAAATATCCGTAAAATCGCCTTTGTACGGACAAAAAAGTGGTGCTGTGGTAAAAATGGGTATCAATCGAAAGCTCTCGTTTACCCAGACACAGTCCTGCAGGAAAATTCCACTTTTTCCCCATAGGAAAGTTTTTACGGGAAAATCAAAATTTTGGGTCAATGGGGGGTCCCCCCCGATTTCGTTCAAAATCGGCACACAGGTGCCCCACCACCAGCCGAGAAACTTTCCCCAAAACGGTCCCCGTTGCATTGACGTTTAAGGCCCGTAAAGCCCCCTAGACTCGTAAAATATCCGTAAAATCGCCTTTGTACGGACAAAAAAGTGGTGCTATGGTAAAAATGGGTATCAATCGAAAGCTCTCGTTTACCCAGACACAGTTCTGCAGAAAAATTTCACTTTTTTCCCATAGGAAAGTTTTTACGGGAAAATCAAAATTTTTGGGCACTGGGGGGTCCCCCCCCGATTTCGTTCAAAATCGGCACACAGGTGCCCCACCACCAGCCGAGAAACTTTCCCCAAAACGGTCCCCGTTGCATTGACGTTTAAGGCTCGTAAAGCCACCTAGACTCGTAAAATAACCGTAAAATCGCCTTTGTACGGACAAAAAAGTGGTGCTATGGTAAAAATGGGTATCAATCGAAAGCTCTCGTTTACCCAGACACAGTCCTGCAGGAAAATTTCACTTTTTCCCCATAGGAAAGTTTTTACGGGAAAATCAAAATTTTGGGTCAAAATCGGCACACAGGTGCCCCACCACCAGCCGAGAAACTTTCCCCAAAACAGTCCCCGTTGCATTGACGTTTAAGGCCCGTAAAGCCCCCTAGACTCGTAAAATATCCGTAAAATCGCCTTTGTACGGACAAAAAAGTGGTGCTATGGTAAAAATGGGTATCAATCGAAAGCTCTCGTTTACCCAGACACAGTCCTGCAGGAAAATTTCACTTTTTCCCCATAGGAAAGTTTTTACGGGAAAATCAAAATTTTGGGTCAATGGTGGGTTCCCCCCGATTTCGTTCAAAATCGGCACACAGGTGCCCCACCACCAGCCGAGAAACTTTCCCCAAAACGGTCACCGTTGCATTGACGTTTAAAGGGACCCTCCCACCTTCCAAAAAGTTAATGAATTGGCATGAAAGTGATGTCCCTTGGTTCAGAAAGAGCGAAAACGAATATCTACCAAATTTCACCGAAAAATATTCACTGGTTTTCAAGATATTAGGCTTTTACTTTTGTTTACTTTTTGGGATCTCCCTGTTACTAGCGACTTTATTTGGAAGCAATAATTTGGCAGCCTTAAAGTGCGGCAGACGTTGCGCGCAAAGCAGCGTATACCACCACGTGTTAACGATGGTTTTAGTCTAAGATTTAAAAATTGTTAGATCTCCGCTGACGTCACAAATTCTAAGGGGGCATACCAATGCATTAGCCCCTTAGAATCCGAAAACTGCAAGTTTGAACTTCCATATCTTCGAATTAAAGCATTTCTCGATGTTGTGAGTGCCCAAACCGGTATTTGCAGGCCATGGCCACCAATTTGGCTATCTCAACTCAAAACTAATGTTAAGGTGGGAGGGTCCCTTTAAGGCCCGTAAAGCCCCCTAGACTCGTAAAAATATCCGTAAAATCGCCTTTGTACGGAGAAAAAAGTGGTGCTATGGTAAAAATGGGCATCAATCGAAAGCTCTCGTTTACCCAGACACAGTCCTGCAGGAAAATTTCACTTTTTCCACATAGGAAAGTTTTTACGGGAAAATCAAAATTTTGGGTCAATGGGGGGTCCCCCCGATTTCGTTCAAAATCGGCACACAGGTGCCCCACCACCAGCCGAGAAACTTTCCCCAAAACGGTCCCCGTTGCATTGACGTTTAAGGCCCGTAAAGCCCCCTAGACTCGTAAAATATCCGTAAAATATCAATGGGACCCCCATTGACCCAAAATTTTGATTTTTTCGTAAAAACTTTACTATGGGGAAAAAGTGGAATTTTCCTGCAGGACTGTGTCTGGGTAAACGAGAGCTTTCGATTGA